GTGAATCTTGCAAATTTGTAGACAATTGTTCTTCATCTTGTAGCTTCACTAGTACTTGCTTTTCCTTTTGAGTGTATTCATTTTATCAATCGCATGCTCCTTCTTCATCAAACTCAACATCCCAGCTAAAAATAATTTTTGAAGTTTTAGGATCAAATAGTTTATATGATTTAGATTATACCCAATGAAGATGAGTTTGCAGCTTCTGTAATCTAGCTTAGTCCTTTGTTCAGGGACATGTACATATGCAAGGCTCCCAAACACCTTCAAATGAGATATATTTAGCTTTCTTTCTATCCATGCTTCTTGTGGTGTCATAAATTTGTAAGCTTGAGGTTCAGCACCGATTGAGTGTATAGACAGCACATGTCACCGCCTCGACCCAAAGTTCTTTAGGCGTATTCTTACTTTTAATCATGTTTTGTATCATATTAAGAATAATGCAATTTTTTCTCTCCGTTACTCTATGCATTTTGTTGGGGAGACAATTGTGTTATTAATTAATGTCGAATGCCATGCTCTTCACAAAATTCTTTGAATAATTTTGGCTGTAAATTTTCCTCCTTGATCTGATTTGATGGATTTTATTGAAAATCCATTTTTTTTATTTGCTTGCTTTGAACTTTTTAAACATAATGAAAGCTTCTGATTTCACATTCAAAAAATAAAGTCATGTTTTTTTTTAAATAATCATTAATAAAAGTTAAGAAATATTGATGCTTACCAAAAGATGCTGGAGCAATGGGTCTGCATACATCCGTGTGGATTAATTGAAGAGCTTCTTTGTTCTAAAGTTTGCTTCATTTTGATAACTCTTTCTAGGTTGTTTTCAAAATACACAACCTTCACAAATTTGATTTTGATGATTGATATATGGTAACCCATGCACCATTTCTTTTCTCAACATATTATTTAGATCTCCAAAATTTAAATGTCCAAGCCTCATATGCCAAAGCTATGATGGATCTTTCACATATGTCCATAAACATTTCATTACTCCATTTTTTATATTAAGAATAATCATATTATTTCTTGTCATCTCCACTTGGGAAATTACATCATTTGAATTATTTTTAATTGTGAGATTTTTATCCTTCATATGAATGTCAAATCTTTTCTCAAGTAATTGCGTCAAGCTTAAAATATTGTTTTTCATATCCGGCACATAATAAACTTCAGTAATAAATTGATGGGTTCCATCTTTAAGAAATATAAGGATTTTACCTTTTCCTTTTATGGGAATTTTTGAAGAGTCACCAAAATAAATTTGACTCTCCATCACCTTCATTTCTATTAACATTTTTTTATCCCTACACATATGATTACTTGTCCCGGTATCTAAATACTAATTGTTTTCTTTTTTATCTTCTTCTCTTTTTAGTGCTAATAATAAAATCGGTTCATCTTCCTTCTTTTTAACAAGGTTGGCTTTATCTTGATTATGATAACATTCGGAAGCATAATGACCAAATTTCTTACAAATATAACAATAAACATGAGATTTTTTGTACCTTTCATATTTTGGCTCTTTCTTCCACTCTTCATTTCTTGAGTTTTGATTTTCTCTTCATTATTTATTTGATATCCACCACGTCCTCAGCCTCTTCCAATTGCACAACCATGACCGCGACCTCGATCATGGCCTTGTCCATAAATGTCTTGATCATTTGAATTATCTTCATTTTTTGTTTGTCAACTTTTAATGAAAGCTTTGATTGGAGAACCTGTTCGATAGTATCCTTTTTTTCTAATTTTTTCTTTGCTCATAAGTCATTAAAGAGTCCATTAGTTCATCAACAGTCATTATCTCTAAATCTTTAGTTTCCTCAATAGCTACGAAAATATGCTCAAATTTATCATTTATCAAGCGTGGAATTTTTTCTATCACTTGAATATCTTCTAATAATTCTCCATTCCTTCGTAGTTGATTGACGATAGTCAAGACTCTTGTGAAATAGTCATCCACATTTTATGCTTCCTTTATTTAAAGTGCCTCAAATTCAGCTCAGAGAGTTTGAAGTCGAATCTTCTTTATTATTTCTATACTTTTATATAAAACTTGAAGAATCTCCCATGCTTGCTTAGAGGAAGATGCACTGGCCACTTTCTCAAAGTTTGCCTCATTTAGTGCTTGATAAATGAAGAAGAGCACCTTCTTATCCTTCTTTCTACTTTCTTTCAACAGTTCCCTTTGGGCTATTTACAATACTGCTTCATCTTAATGCTCGACATAGCATTTCTCAACTATCTCCAAAATATCTTGCGATCCAAATAAAGCCTTCATTTGAATACTCCAATTCTCATAATTCTCCTTTGTGAGACGAGACAATTGTAGATTCATACTACTTGCCATCGAACTTGTCTCTGATACCACTTGTTTGAGAGAAATTGTTTGGAAGAGTGGAAGAGGAAAAAAAATAAGAGGAACTTCTATTATAATTTTTTCTCTCTTACATCAAAATGACAAGACTAAATGCCTTTTTATACTTGTACAAAGACAATTCTAGAAATGCATTCTAAAGATTTCTATAAAAGTTCAACTACCAACTACCAAAAGTTATTTCATATTCTATATGTATCCTTCATATAATTTCCTAGATGCACAAAATACTTGATAATTAATTTTGATTTATATTTCCAACATATCAATCATCGCTTTCTTCTCCAAGAATCCATTTTGAACTTGAAACTTGCCAATGGTGGACTTATGAAAATTACATTTTCAAGTCATCTTTCAGTGCCTCAACCTTGGTGTAGTCTTTTTTGGCTTTAATACTGTTGTTGACTGTAATGAGGAGATGAATTAGGGAGAAAGCTAGTTGGATGAAGATATAATATGTTGAAAGAGAAAGATTGCGAGGATATTATAGATAGTGGATGCCACGTTTAATAAAGTTGTAAAGTAATTTCAAATGCTTCAAATCAACTTGCTATAAATACTTAGTTATCTCCTTAAATATGATACTCTTTTTTTCTCCTCATTTCTCTCTCATCTTTTTCCCTTTGTCATAACCTCCATTCTTATGATAAAAGAATACTTCATAAAGGTTAATCCATTAAAGAATCTCTATGCCAACTTTTTTCATAGCCAACTTTTTTCATTTCGCGGGGCTATCATTGATTGTTGGACGAAATAGACTACTTGGATAGTAAAGTCATAATAAAATTGAGTCAGCTAAGGTTGGTTTTGAGTAGCTCATTCAAATCAGATGGGGCATCTAAGAAGGATGACTTGCGAAAACGCATTTATGTGCTCCATCCTAGGATTAAACTGCATTAGGAAAACTTTTATTACGTTTTTTATTCAAATCATTTAATTTTTTTCTTAATTAAATAATTTTTTATTTTACTTATTTTTTCTCATGGATGTTGCTGATGTATGAGATGATTTACATTATTATTCTTCATGTTTAAGATGTGTTATATAAAATTTTGTAAGCTAAGATTTTTATTTTCTGAATAGATTTACTAATATTTGGAATTGTGTTTGCATCAGATCTACGATGGATGTATAATTTAGATATTAATTTATGATGAATTTGAGATAGAATTGATCGATCCATCAAAATTTGTCACAATAAATGTTTGCTTTGTGAAGAAGTCTCTCTAATATGTCGATAGTTCTAAAATTAGTGGTGGTTGTTTTGTCACAATTTTGTCAGAAATCTATTCTAACATTCCCGTAAAAGCCATATTGTAATATGCTAGTAAAAATATTCTAAAAAAGAAATTGGTCACAAATAAAATTAAAATATATTTAAAAACAATGAATAAAATCAATCTCAAAGTAGTTAAATCTACCAAGTGCTCTTTTTTCATCGTAAAAGAAAGAATAATTTTTTAAATTAAACAACATTAATAATATAATTAGTAACTATATCAGTAGAAAAAAAAATTTAAAACTCATCTAAGTCTCCAACCAAACAGGCAACTTATAAGTAGCTAGTTTTATTGATGACTTGTATAAATTAATTTTTTTTAAATGAAAGCAACATCAATTAATGTGAAATAATTTTACAGTTGTTCTATAAACAATTGTAAAATTGCCTTGAATTTTAAAATTGTAGTGAGTAATAACACTCTATGAGATGTAAAGTTGTAAGGCATAGTAATAGTCATTTAGTTAGTAGTCATAAAGTTGTTAGTTTTTTTAAATCTTTGAGTATGAATTAGTCATTTGCGAACATGCATAACATCATAATGAGATCAAAGTAGAACAAAATACCATACATAATCCATGCTTAATGAGTACAATATTAAAATCAAAATATAACTCAAACAACCAAAAGGTACATAGTAGATATCACTATTGCCTCCTCTTATGCCGATGTGGTAATGCATCAGTTCCCGGAGTGAAATGCTATGGTGAACATAGTAGCCTGGTGCGTAGATGGTGTTGGTCCGCAAGACTGACATAAGAATTTGTAGTTGAAGGCTCATCCCAGGATGAAGGTACGAAATCTGTTGTGAAGGCGATGTGAATGTCTTATGGTGTTGGTATCATAAGGTACCTCTGAGAGGGACCGTCATCAAGGTAAAAGGGCGGCCCAACATCGTTGGATCTGTAGAAGCAGGGACCTGGTTGAATGGCATGTAATCATCAACTACCTCGTCAGTATATCGATCAACGTCAACACATTCCCTCCATCAACTTTGTTAGAATTGAGAACATTTGTTTGACTTGATACCGAATATTATTATTGCATCTGTTACGTCCTCATTCCATTCACGAGTGCTCATATATGTCTTAAAGACGTCATTATTTGAAATCATGTTTTATATAGTGCCAACATTCAAAAAGCAATATCGTTGTATGACGCTATATATTGATCTCAATATTCATCTCAACATTCCCTTCACCTGAGGTCAGCATCATCATTATATACCAATTTATTGGATTAACTATTCATGGTTTCATAATCTTCATCAACAGTGAGTGACGGTCTCGCAAAAAGTTCCGGTACATCCTGCGAATGACTGTGCTTCCTATACACTAAAGAAGATGTCAATCTCATTGTTCACCATATTAAAACATATTTTTTAAGCAAGCTTTTTATATAGTTGGTCAACTACGTGTCACTTTTCTATTGGTTTTGTTTCAATATGCATCTTTGTGTAATGGTTTGTCATCAACTTCATGTATTTCTTATGGTGGTTGATGTTCTGGATTCTTTCTTAAAAGTAAGAATTTAGTTTTAATTTCATGAATTGACAGCGAGTAGATTTTGAAATCTTCTTGCATCCTCAACTGAAGACTTTTCTTTTCTTAATGATTTTGAAAGTTTTTTAATTCAATTTGCTAATAGAGATTGTAATAAGTTAGTGCATCTTTATGCTAACTTAGCCTTAGATGGAGATTTTTTGTGGGAAGATTTAAATAATGTTCCTCGTTTTTTTTTTCTTTGGCTAAGGAGGAAAGTGTTAGAGCTTCTATCACTGAGTAGATTGTAATAGCTTCTATTACCTAAATGCATTTGCAGCTTCTCAAAAATAAAACTATTGAATTCTCTAAACGAGCGTTGATGCGCAGTACTTTTTAGTGGATGTTTATGAATTTTGAGATTAATTATATTCCTATGCAAATATATTTATCATATTATGCTTTTATTTGAGACAGTTTTATTACTAATTTTTAAAATATGTTTGTTTACCAGCTTTTTAAGGAATTTATTTTAATTTAAAAAACTGTTTTATAAAACAATAATCAACTTATCCAAACATAGCCTGTTTGATTAAATTAAATTAATTTTAATTATTTTTTTTTCTTTTCTTAGTATTTGAATTTTTGTAGTTTGTTTGTAGTTAATGGGCAATTGAATTAATTTAAAGTTTAAACAAATTTATTTTAATTCAAATAAATGAAAATTTAAAAATTGAACTATTATCCAGTTTAAATTTTGGATATAATTATCAACTCAGTCGGACATTAATTAAGTTAGCACAAATGCTACTTTTAACGATATTTCAGCACTAAAAAAAAAATTATAATTCAGCTGGTCAAAAACCACCCAAAAACAATGTCTTTATATTATACTGCCATTCGTTCTACTGTCTTAAAGTTGGTGCAAAATGCTAGTATGTCTAAGATATAGGGATGTAAATAAGTCAAGCCGCCTTGTAGGTCTGATCGAGCTTAACTCATAAAGGAGCTCACAAAATGAGCTTATCGAGTTTTGAGCTCAAGTTCAAGCTCGAGCGGATTTACGAGCTCGTTGGAAAATCAAGCTTGAATTCAATTGAGTTGTTGCTTGACTCATTAACTCTTAGAGCGGCTCGAGCCCCGAAAAGCAAAAATGGAAGGTGGAGCTGGAACCAGAAGTTTAAGCTGCTGCAGAAGCAGAAGACGAAACAAGAACTGGATTGTAGAAGCGGCAGCCAGCGTGGAATCAGACGCGGAAGCTGATGCAGATGCAAAAGACGAAATTAGAACTAGAACGCGGAAGCGAAAAGCGGAATCTCCTGGTCTGTTCTTCTTATGACTCATGAGCTTCCTCATGCGCGCCAGAATCTATTTCCACGAGTAGAGCGCTAGTTTGAGCTCACGATTTGGCAGATGAGCCGAGACCAAGTTAAACATGACTCGAGCATAACTAAAGTCCTGTACACCCCATATGCAACTATTTCAAACGTGTTAACCTTACAAGCTGCCAACAATCGTAAGTAGAAATGGCCAATCATTGTAATCTGCAAGAAAAGAAGCAAACCCACCAAACCTACGGCGGCATGGGCAGCACGACTATAATGAAGGTCAACATTACTTTTGAAAAGATTTCTTGTTATATATACATGCCTTCCAACATGCAGAGCATAAGACTCGAATAAAAAACAAGAAGCCCATGCTTACCAACCTCGGTATTCTTCCTCCAGACATCTCCCCTCTTAAATTCTGCTCAAATCCCTGTAACAGACATAATAAGAAGAATAACTGAGATGGGACAAAAGGAGGAGAAATGCGAAGCAAACATAATTTCAAGACAACTGAAGCTGTACTTCCATTCAGTTTGTCTCACTCTCCTCTCCCTTCTTCTCCCCCTCTCATACCTCCTCTTGTGCAGGCTCAGCTATACTCCCCTGTCCCCCACATTCATCATTCTGTACGTCGTTGTTTCATTCCTATCCGTATCTTCCCTATTCTACTCAATCACAGGCCACACCCTTCACATCGAACTACCAAACTGCATTGCCTGGGTCATCCTCTGCCTCTTTCAAACCTGCATTACTTTTGGAATAGAAGGAACGATCAGAGATGGATTCCAACCGATCCAAAATGCTAATGCATTTGCACATGAGATGTGGTTGAAGAGAACCTTCCTCCTCATAGGAATCTACGAACAGATGATGCTTTGGAAAGATAAGTTTGTGAAACCAGTTGTGGATAGCACATTCATCGAGGAGAGAATGGAACAAAGAAATGATCGGTTTTTAATGGGATTATCCTTCAGTGGTTTATGGCTCTGGCTGCTGCAAACGGAGGTAGAGCCTTTGGTTTTGGCTTCTACAATGGTAGGATTTAGTAGGAGAGTGGGTTGGTGCGACTTCATCATCTGGTTCGTGACCTTTGCAACTTTAATGACGGGGTTTGTGAGAGCTGTCCAGTTTCTTGTTTGGCAATTAAGTATCCTACTACAGCTTATGTATTGCAGGGTAGAGGAACAAGCTGATGGCCTTGCTCAAGGAGAAGATGAAGTGTAAAGCGATAAGGAATTTGTGAATTCCGCCCTATACGATATTCTGTTCGTTATCCTGCCCTCTTGATACAACATGCTAACAAATTAATATTATCATAGAGGATTAATTGATGATTAACAGTCAAAAAATTTATCAAAAAAGATAAAACAAAGGAGGAAGTCCAAGGGGCCACCAAGCACAACGTTAATCAATGAACAAGATGACAGCCGTCAGAATACAGCATTGTAAATTTATTCATGAGAGAACCTTCAAAAAGATAAACATTCGTGACAACATTCCTAATAGAGTACCTTGGAGTCATTACACAATTACAAACTGTTGAGATAATTTACATACCGTTAACTAAAATGAGGGAGTACTCGAGCACAGAAATGAAACGAAAGTTTATTATTATTATTTTTTTACTAATGGTGTTTTTTTAATTCTTCCTCAACTTTTTGGGTATTTGCGCATCGATTACAAGCGGAAAAACCTGGATATATGTACAAGAATTGCACAAATCTTTATTTCTAAAGAAAAGTTAGTTGCAGAAAAAGATTGAACAAAGTTGTCTGGTTTGCGATGTAGTAACTCATGTTCAAAGGTACTGGAATATTCCACTGTTTTTCGAGAATTTTTAATTGCAGTAGAATCAGATGGCCGTAGTTGCAAATTCTAAGTGCACGGATGGGCAGGCCGATTGATTGCTTATTTGCTTTTTTTATGTGATGCTATATTAAATAGTTTTTTTTTATTTTTTATTTTATTTTTTTAACAAAACAGAAATTCCATTGATAATAAAAAGGTATAGCATAGGCCCAAAGCAAAGCAAAGCAAAGAGGCCCATAATAAGCTACATATAAAAGACATAGTCTAAACAACACACAAACTAAACAACCCAAAAAGGGAAACAGAGAGGAACGGAAGAGCAAGAGTGGACTCAGGCCGCCACCTGGTTGCCAGGCTTGGGCCGTCCAATCATCAGCAAGGTTGCATCCAAGCCCAGGCCATCCGAGGGGCCTCATCATAGTCCTCCAATAGCCAAACCAAGCCAAAACCGAAGCAAAAGCAAGAAAAAATCATTTCTTATTGGAATTCCGCTTTTTACATTTTCCACTCTTTTTGCTAAAACCCTCGTCACCAATTTGAATGATACTCAAGTCGTAATTTTCCCGCGAATCAAGACCCTTCCCAAATAAACATCCATCATCATCTGAATTGTTATCAAGTATCCGCTCACCATGCAACATCTCACTATCACTAGAAAGGTGATCTTGCAAAAGCTCCCTAGAGACAATAGTTATGGGCACAGTAAAAAGAGGATCACCAATACTTTTAGACAAGGGCTCGTTACCCTCAGACAGTGGCCAAGTAACCAAAATGCCAGGTCCATCATCACCAACTTCTACATCACACTGCACCACAACATCAGCATCAGGCAAATCAAAACAGGTCGAAGGAACAAAAGCCATCTCAGAAACACTGTCACAGCCATTGCACAAGGGATCAATGGGATCACCACAATCCACCACAAACAAAACTGCCGAATTCACATGACACATAGTAATTGAAGGTAAAGCAATAGGACTAACTCTACTATCCACCCCCTCCGGTGGCAAAATCACAATTTTTTCAACTTATCTCCCTCACAGAGATCAACCACCACATCCAACTCCCGAAGGGAAGAAACACCCCCCAATTGAGTGTCACTTACCTCAAAACCCCCTAAAACCTGCTGTGACGGCCCAGTAGAAACAACCGCAAGAGAAGAACAAAACAAAGAAATAGGAATAGGTAAAATCGGAGACTGACACACCAGCGATATAACACAAGGAGAAGGATCAGCAATAGTAGGACAAAGAGGAATAAGAGCTGAAACCCCAACATCCTTAACATTACCCTCACCACCAAGAGTGGCGAGAACATCAAACACCCTTAAATCCGATTTAGGCAAAGAAGGGAGCAGCAGGCTTTGCATCATCCATAGGTCGGCATTCACCAACAGAATGACCAAGACCTTTACACTAGGAACAAAAATGTGGAAATTCTTCCATAGAAACAGGTTGGAAATACCCAAAATTCTCAGGACCAAACCAAATTTTATCCGAAAATTTCTTAGTAATATCAATTTCAACCAGCACCCGCGCAACCGACGGGCGGGACCCAACCGCAGTCGCATTGTCAACCTTCAGCGGGTTACCAAATAAAAGGCCCAAACCATGCAAGATACGCGGAGAGAAAAAATGGGGGCGCAAATTAGAGAAGGAAATCCAAATCGAGACAATGGGAGACTCATCCCCAATGTCACCATAAGGAGACCATTTAGACACCTTCATGAAGCAATTGAAGACCAGATAAGACCTATGGCAGAACACCCGACTATAATCAAGATCATTAACCAGCTTAATGAGGACATGCAAAGAATCCAACACAGTCACAGAAAAAGCTCCATTTAACCGCAGATTGAAAAAAAAACTTACGAATCAACGCAAGCGGAGGCCGCCGGGAAGGGAAAAAACCAACCTGGGAGAACTTAAAAGGTTCGGCAAGAGCCAAAAATTCCTCTTCCGACACCAACAGAGCAGGAACTCCACGGAAAGAAGACCGAATAAGATCCGGAAACTTACCAGAAAAAGATCCCGCTAAGCTTCTAAAAAAGAACGAGACCTAGCCGTTCCATCAAAAAAACCCGGATCGGAAGCACCACACACCACCATAACAGGAAAACAAACAAGAGAAAACACAAGGGAAGGAGAACTTAGCCCTCGGAACACCGCCGCAACCGGCACTAGGGCAAAGCCCTAGCCCAGCGCCACGCCAGAAGAACGAGGAGGAAAAGCATCGTGATGCATTGTGAATTTGTAAAATGAGAATTATTGCTATATTACATAGTTATACTAGAATGTATATGCTTTAATGTTACACCACTTCAAGATTTAATTTGATTAAAATCATTAAGAAAGATCGAGGTGATCATAATAGTGGATAAACATGTAATTGAGATTACCTCAAATTTGACCGCTAAAAGTAGGGAAAAAAAAAACTAATGATTTCATTATTAACAGAGAATTTCAAGCATACTTTTGATATCGTGCATATTTATAAATATAACAACCTGCTTCAATAAATGAATAATTGATTTTTTATATTTGTGTGTTTTATGACGAAATGAAATTTGATAAAAGTGAAAACCTTAAGCTAGAGTTTTGTTGTGAATTTTTTTTATTTAAGCAGGAGATTGATGTTGACCTCTATGTAGTATGCAATGAACAAAAAAAAAAAAGGCATAACATGATTACCTGTACAAGCCAATACCGAAATGCTGCGCAGATCCCGTAGAATCCTGCTGCAGCTACAGAGCCATGCCTCTGCAGACGGTGCCGTTTCGGACAGAGCACGCGCAAGCCTCTTCTCCCGCTCTCGTTTGAGGAGAAGGACCGCAGCTTGTTCGCCACATTCTTCTCCTGCAAGCCCTCGCCTGCTCCGACTCCAACCCACGAAGCACCCGTCGCTACGTCTGATTTCAGCATGCCGTCGCCCTCGCTTCCCCATACCCGTCTAGAACCTCCAACCCAAACGAAGCTAGACCTCCTGTCGTCTGAATCTTCTGCTTCGACTCAAGCCCCGACGATCAAAAGCCAAAAACACAAGCCTATCTGATTTCCCTCGTCAGATCTTCTTATCCCGATGATCTTCGACCCATCCAAACTCCAACCTCCCACCTCCAACTTGGCATCCACGAACTCCTGCCCAGATCTTCTATGCCAATTATTCGAGGCGAGCATTTTCGATCCCTAAACCCTGACCTTCCTGTTTCTCGAGAAATTATTAGGTACGGAGTGCGGACGGGAGAACCGTCTGCACACTAGTATAAAACAGTGTTCGGTACCGTTCGGTACCACTCGGTACCGCTGGGTACCGCTCGGTACTCTGTGTCTGTGCAGACGGTTCTCACCTCGTCTGCACTCCGCACCTAATAATTTTTCCTATTTCTCCGACCTAGAGAGAGAGAGTGAGGGAGTGAGGGAGGACCGACGCCATAACCTAAGCAAGAAAGATGGCTACTGGAAAGCTCCTATCGTGGCTTCTGATCGGATAGAGAAGGGAGTGTCATCCTCGTGGCAAATTATTGCATCTGGACGGCGGAGAATAGGTTCGGACCTTCAATAAAAATTTGTCACGTCATCTGTATTTTTTACTGTGCTTTTGACTTGCGTTTTAGTTGCGCTTTAATTGTACTTTACCTGCGCTTTTGACTGAGCTTTGACCTGCGCTTTACCTGCGATGTACCTGCGCTTTACTTGAATTTTTGACGCACTAAATTTAAATCAATATTTTATTAATATCCGGACCTATCTCCGCGTCCGGTGACCGGATGCAATAATTTGCCCCTTCGATTGAATTTTTATTGCCTCAGGTTACCTAACGTAGAGATACATCAGGTAGCATATAATATATCGCCACGTGCTCTTACTCTTTACCGCGCGGCCCGACGACCCAATCCGAAACGGACTCAAGAGTTTACGTAGCTCGGTATTGCTAGGTATTGGTCGATTTTGCTCGACAAAAATGAAAAATACTATTATGTGAAGACCAATACCGAGCAAAAACGAGCAATACCGAGCTCAATACCGAGCAATACTGAGTTCAATACCGAGCAATACCGAGCTCAATACCGAGCAATACCGAGTTTAATACCTGTTAGCACTCTTATTAAACTACCCTGTATTCTGCTAATATTACCGGTTTTACCTTTAGCTAAACTCTATATATATCGTTGTATTGTATTCATTTGGATAACATAATAGAATTCTTCACTGTTCATCTTCTTGACTTGCCGTGTTCTCTTCCGGTACTCATCTTCTTCCTCTAAGGCATTCCGCCTTTCTCACATGGTATCAAGAGCCTCTCATGGGGGACCAAGATTCCGTTTCTTCCCTCCCTCCCTCCTCTTCTCTCGCCGGATAACCCTCTGCCGCTGAGATCTCCATCAAGGCAACACTCAAATTCCTCATTTCTCATGTCAAGAATCTGATTCCTCATCCTCTTACCACTGAGAATTATGCTATTTGGAGAATTCAAGTTCTTCAACAATTCACGGCAACGGGATATGCCGTCTACCTCTCCGGCGAGTCCGTCTCTCCTTCAGACGCTAACTCCTCTGCTTTCGCAAATTGGAGACTCGTGGATAGTCTTCTTCTCTCGGCCTTGTTTTCAACGATCTCCCCCTCCCTTCTTCCGTATGTTATCACGGCAACATCGGCTTACGAAGTTTGGACACTCTCGAGCGTCGTTTACAACCCTCAAGCCGCTCTCGCGTTATGTAGCTCAAGAATGAGCTTCACAACATCCAAATGAAAAATCTCACGATGCAGCAATATCTCTCCCAAATCAAGAACATTGTGGATAACATTGTCGTGTCCGGATCAAAGGTAGACTCGGAAGACATTATTTTGTACATACTAAATGGTCTTCCCGCCACCTATAATTCGTTCAAAACATCGATCTGAACTTCTCCTGTTCCGTCGAACTTGGACAATCTGTATGCCCTGTTGTGCAATGAGGAAATTCATCTCAATCAAGAATTGGCCAAAGATCATGCTCTTAGCTCACCCGCAATCTACGCCGCGCCAAACAATCCTCCACGCAATCGCAACTACAAACGTTCCATCAAGAACAAGCCCAATCCCTTCTCCTCCTCATCCACACCACCGACCAACAGCAACAGCTCTCCCAGCGGGAATTCCCGTCTGGTCTGTCAAATATGTGGGAAAATCGGTCACGTCGCTCTCAACTGCTGGTACAGATGTGATCTTAAATATGCTCCGACCTCCTCCTCCAACCCACGAGCAATGCTGGCTACTCCGGCCTCCTACCCAACTCAAGACTGGATTATGGATACAGGAGCTTCCTCCCATCTAACTCCCGACAGCTCCAATCTTCAGACTGTTTCGGCATATCAAGGTCAAGATTCCATCTCGGTGGCCATGGCTCGTCCATTCCAATTCAACATTCCGGTCACGGTTTACTACCTCTGTCGGACAATGCGCGTAAGCTTTATCTACGCAATCTATTAAACGTTCCTGCACTCACTCACAATCTGCTTTCTGTTTCGAAATTAACCGCTGATAACTCCATTTATATTACTTTCTACGCTAATGGTTTCGAAATGAAAGACTCTCAGGATCATCGCCTTCTACTCCGTGGTCGACTTAGCAACGGTCTCTACCACATTACCTCCGTTCCTGACGATCCACCGCTTGCTCTTCACACAAGATCTAATGCTGCTCCTCTCTGGCATGCTCGACTGGGACATCCGAACAACCGGACTCTTCAAATCGTTGCTCGTCATCTACCTGCATCTTTTAATTCTTCGTCTATTACTCATTGTAAAGCTTGTAATATGGCCAAGAGCCATAGAATTGTTTTCAATAAAAGCATGTCGGTTGCCTCATCCCCGTTTGATCTTATTCATTCAGACGCATGGGGACCAGCTCCGATTTCTTCGTCTCACGGTTTTCGCTACTACGTTATTTTTATAGATGGTTTTTCTCGGCATTCTTGGATCTTTTTCATGCACAATAAAAATGAAACATTCTCTAAGTTTAAACTGTTTTGTACTCTCATCCAGAATCAGTTCGGGACTCTACCGAAGTCATTACAGTGCGACGGCGGTGGCGAGTTCATTAACAAACTCTTCACTTCCTTCTTATAAGAACAAGGAATAATCCAACGCATCAGCTGTCCGCATACACCCGAGCAGAACGGTATTGTGGAGAGAAAGCACAGGCACATCCTCGATCTTACAAGAACTCTGCTTCAAGAATCCAACGTCCCGGCCAATTTCTGGAGCGAAGCCGTGTCCACAGCTATTCACTTGATAAACAGGCTTCCGTCCAAACATACCTCTCACAAATCTCCTCATCAAATAATATACAACAAGATTCCTCCCTTTGGATGTCTCTGCTACCCGTGGTTACAACCTTATACCTCCTCCAAATTTTCTCCTCGCTATGCTGAGTGTGTCTTCCTCGGCTACTCGACCATCCACAAAGGGTACGTTTGTCTCAATCTGAGCAACAATAAAACTCACATTTCCAGACATGTCATTTTCCACGAAGAAATTTTTCCATTTCATAATTCTGCTTCAAACTCAGCCATCCCGCCAACCACTCCCGCCCACAATCACACACCACTCATCCTCGTCCCGGCCTCTACCGTGACACACATTAAACAATCTTCTCCATCGTCTACATTGTCCGCTCCCAACCCCACCGACTATCCGCTAACCAGCTCTCCTACGGTCAGTACTTCCCCGTCCGTCAGATCTTGTGAACCTCCTCCGCAAATACCACGGGAAGCTATCGTTCCTCATCCGATGCAGACCAGATCTAAATCAGGCATATCTAAACCAAATCCCATTTACTCACTCATCACAACTCATCCATCGGATCCAACACCCATTTCTTACAATCAGGCAGCTAAGCATCCGCACTGGCAAACAGCCATGGAAGATGAAATCAAGGCGCTCAAACAGCAACATACTTGGTCGCTTGTCCCTCCGCCATCCAACAAACCAGTCTTAGGTTGTAAGTGGACATTTAAGACCAAGTTTCTTCCTTCAGGCACAGTGCATCGGTACAAAGGCAAGATTAGTGGCACTTGGCAAAGGCCAGACATTCGGCGAAAACTATACCGAGACATTCAGTCCGGTAGCCAAAATGCCAACCATCCGTCTACTTCTCACACTCGCGCTACACCGAAAGTGGGATATTCTCCAACTAGATGTTTCCAACGCTTTCTTGCACGGCGATTTAACCGAAGACATCTACATGAAGCAACCACAAGGATTCGTTGATCTCACTCAACCAATAGCAGTGTGCAAGCTCCATAAATCACTATATGGGCTCAAACAAGCCCGACGACAGTGGTTTCAAAAACTCACCGATTTTCTTCAATCACGTGGATTTCGGTTTAGCCGCTCCGATCCCTCTCTGCTTATCCTTACTAAACACAATTTACAAATCTATTTTCTCATTTATGTTGATGACATTACTCTCACAGGTAATGATCACATTGCTATTCAATCTCTCCTCCACGATCTTCACTCAACGTTTGCGCTCAAGCAGCTCGGCAACATCAATCTGTTCCTCGGTATCCAGGTTCAACACTCTTCTCACGGCCTGTTTCTATCATAAGCCCACTATGCAGCTTCTCTGCTGAACACAGCTGGGATGTCAGATTGCAAAAGCTCTCCTTCTCTGATGGCCTCAAACTCCAAAACAAAATCAGTCACTGCTCATCCATTCTCCGATCCCTCCTTGTACCGACGTCTCGCCGATTCCCTACAGTACTTATCCATTACACTGCCAGACGTCGCCTTCGCAACCAATAGAGCCTGTCAGCACATGCAATCTCCTACTGTTCAAAACTTTCAAGACATTAAGCGCATTCTACGCTACATCAAAGGCACTATTAATTTTGGTCTGCCCATTGTTCCCGGTGACCTTCATTTGCATTCCTACTGTGACGCGGACTGAGCATCCAATAGCTCGGACAGGAAATCAGTATCTGGCTTCTGTACCTTCCTTGGACGCACGCTAATCTCATGGACCGTCAAGAAGCAAGTAATCGTCGCCAAATCCTCAACGGAAGCAGAATACCGGTCTCTCTCAGCCAACATTTCGGAAGTTCTATGGCTAAGGAGACTGGCTGCGGAACTCCAAGCTGAACAAACACTTCCAACATATGTTCTTTACGACAACATTTCAGCCATCGCCATTGCTAAAAATCCGGTATTTCACGCAAGGACGAAGCATATTGAAATTGACTTTCAATTCATTCGTCAACACA